GTATATATATATATATATATCCACCTCTTGCTCTCCACTGTTGCTGTTGATCACTGGAAAAAGAAAACTTTTAAAAACCATAAACCAGATCTCAAGTTTTTCATCTGAACTAATCATTCTTGCTTTGCTTTGCTTTAAGTGCTTTACACAGTATCTTCTGTTTCTTTTCTGTTGTGCCACTTAACAAATTAAATAAAACAGCTTCTATATAAGAGCGGTGATCACCTGCTACAAACATATTTATTATTGCATGATGTGGGCCTTGACATTGGTAACCTGATGCTTTCATACAAATGCACACATTGTGTCCCCATTGTCTAACACCTCTGAAAAAGTTCTCTGCATATAATTTTCAAAGAAACAGTCATTTAATTTGTACAAAAATTGAAAATTTATAACATACTAGACCTGCACAATAGATTTGAACATCATCATTACAATGTATGTGTGCACAACAGTCACGTTACAGGTCATGCAATGCAGGAATCAAATTAAATCGAAATGTCATCTAAGGACTAAACCACTAAATCACAAGACATTGCACTAAACAATCAGATTTTATTTTGACGGGCTACTTCCACTGTCGGAAGCGGGCGGCTTTGTTTCAAAAAAGCAAAACAATTTCATTTTGTTGTGAAACTTCTGGGACAATAATGGCAACATTTTTCATTGCACCTTTTTATTCATTCCTTCCTTTATGTTTCAGGACATATTCCTGAATAAATAATTGCATGTTCTAATGCTGTAGTTCATTTTTTTTTCTTTTTTTGCTGTAGTTCATATTAACTCAATAAGAAAAATAATCCTAATAATTGACAAAGGTTTAGGACAAACCATCCATCCACTTTCAATTTGTGAGTGCAAGTAAGGAATTTATCAGGAAAAAAAATGCACTACTGTAACATGACAAGATAGTAAAACAACTTAAGATGATTTCTAAGTGTTGCTTTTTTTCAATCATCAGTCAAAACATTTGGAATTAAAGAATTAGTCATCTACTTAGGTGCTAACTTGTATGTGGTCAATTACACTTAATTACCAGTCGGTCGCATTCTCAAATTTATTTGACACTTAATGCTTAATTCTTTCATCAAAACAATAAAGGWTTTGACTACAACACACAAACATGCTAATGAAAATTTCTGCTTTACTACAATTAGAAAGCCTATGGAAGTTGCGAAGAAATCCAAAAAAAACCTCAATTACTTTATCTCTGTCCACTGAATACCCCGGCTAAATGTCAAGATCACAGMGTAGCTCTGGGCTTAAAGGGGGACGATATCAAAAGGCCTTTCTGTTGCTTTATGCTCTACTAAATAACACGTCTTTCTCATCATTGTCCTCCTTCTGTTTTCACTTCGGCCTTTAAGTTTGCCTTTTATAGTATGGAGCAGATAGCCAGTGACCTCAGTCTGCTCCCAGAGTTCAAAGCACGAGCCAGAGCTGTGAGCTTCTACTGTATTAAACACGTGGATGGACCTAAGTTTAATATTGTACTCAGGGTTGCTCCTTTGTTGCCTTTGATGGAAAAAAAGCTCATTTTGTTTTTGCAGCTGTAATTAAAATGTGCCTGTTAAGATAATTGCAGGTCTGTTGAAATCATGGCAAGCAAATACTGTATCAAAATGGAAAATCTGTTCTGTGTGGTTTATCTCCGCAAAGTTCACGCTTGGTTAAATAGACCGTCTACTGTACACCAGATGAGCATTCCAAGAGCTGCTTTGGATGGCAAAAATTCATTAAATACATATCAAGAAGGACAGCAAAATATGCAAATCCTAACACTTAGAGCCACCAACATCAAAGTGCCCACAATGAAAACCAGCCACAAATAGAACAAAAGCATTAGTTGCAATAAGACTTGGCCCAGGGCTAAGTTAGGGCACAAACGCTTGTTGTTGATTCTTGTGGTGATAAGCTTGCTTTAGCATCACCACCGCCTATGTACATATAGCAGCGGAGTGGATTTAATCGCACTAATTAGAATGCACTCAAGGCAAAATGCAACATCTACTGGAATAATCTGAGAGAAAAGATCTCCAGTCCAATTTATTCTACCCCTCTTGGTTTCTGGAGGGGGGGCTGGTGGCTGAGCAGAGGATCTGTTTTTCGTAAACTAGTGAGCGGCTGGTGTCTGGTGGGTTGGGTGCGTGTGTCACTTTGGACTGGTTGCCATTTCGAGGACAAGCTGCAGGGAGGATTTTCGCAGGGAGGCTGTATATGTGTGTGTGAGAGAGAGAGCGAGAGAAAAACAGAGACGAAAAGAAAACAAAAAATAAACACGACAAAGTGAATCAGAGTCTTCGCAACTGAAACAGACCGAATCGTACCTGTGGGAGGAATCATACCAGGAGACATGAGTCCAGGGACTGAGTGGGGCATAATGTGGGGGTTCTCCGGCGATGTCACACTCTGGGTTCTCTTTGGAGGCCGTCCGGGTCTRGAGCTGCAACAGAAGAGGGAAGAACAGGTTGAGAGATGAGGAGGAGACAGGCAGAAGGTGGGGGAGGGAGGGCTGTGTGGGCAGCGGTGGCAGCGGTGGGAGTGTTAACATTTGGAGCTCTCCAGAATGCAATTCCATTCCAAAGAGCTAACATGCACTGTAAATAAATTTCTTTTCAAGGACAGTTGCTTTCTGCAGCTCAACATAATAGACTTCCATAACTAATTAGATTACATGGTGAATTCATTTCCTTTATTGAAGATCAACCATTTTTTGATGCATAATTCATAACCTGCACCTCGTTACCTGTTCCTCTGTATTAATATCCCCACACTATTTGAATTGCCTCGTTTGCATATGCTAAAATCCAGCGCTCGGCCCTCGGCCTGGAAATTACATGTTAACTTGTTATAATTATTGCAGTCAGGCCACTATTGATTTATGAGACTTTTAAAAACCAAATATGTGTAGTTCTGGTAATGAATGATATTTTAAGGTTCTTCAGGAAATTAAAAGGCAATGGCTGCCTTAGGAAATGTTCTGCTTGCTTGATTTAATGCGTGCCTTAGCTGGAAGGTGGTGTGACAGAGTGATTCAGACCTGTTGGACGGTTCTGATGGGGGAGTTTTATTACACCAAACGAGGGGCACAGATCCAGCTGTGATAAATGACTGTGCCACATTATGGTGGAGGAGAAAAGGCCTTCAAAGCAGATACACCCTTGACTCTTTACACATCTTACTCATTCACTTATTAATACAGCTTCGAGTTTCAATCAATACCTACTTTGCTGGCTTATAGTTACAAAGAAAAGCCTATAGGGTGAAAAAGAAAAACACAATGAGCGTGTAATGGGCCAAGATTCTGTGGAGGCATATTCTTCATGAAGCAGGAGCTGCTTGTCTCAGCTGAAGATGAATTATGGGGACTTGACACAGGTGACATATTGGCTTCATACATTATTTCACACTGTAGTCCATTTCAAGCCATGCCAGGATACAAAGTTCCTGTTTAAATTTATCTTTAAAATGCAACATGATATCTACGGCTTACTGTAAACATAAAAAATGGACAAATAAAGGAAGTTTGCAAATTTATGTGTCATATTTTGATAGATGCAATGAAGCATAAGAACATGTAGCAAATGGCCAAGGTTAAAATCAAACCTGTACCCTTTCATTGAGAAGATGCCAACTTCTATGTGCAGGCCTTACACATATCTTATTCTCTAACTATATTGTTGTGGAATGTAGTTACAGAGCTATGTTACAAATGTAAATATATTTTCTTAGGAGTGCTTAAGTTAAGTTTAACATAACACCTTAGTTGGCCTGTTGTTAATGGTTTTATTTWTTTTTTTTCTACCTTTTGCTCATGGTTTCCTAGCTCTACTGCTATTAAACTTTAATTGTGTGCTGATAAGGTTAAATGGCAAATAGTGTAAAATAAAACAAAGCTACAGTTGTTTTGACCTCCCTGAGCTGCCACTTTATTGTGGTGGAGAGATTTGAGTGTCCCAATGATCCTAGGAGCTACATTGTCAGGGGCTTCATGCCCCCGGTAGGGTCACCCAAGGCAAACAGGTCACTGGTGAGGAATCAGAAAAAGTACAGCCCAAAGACAGCTTATGATGAGTGGCAACATTGGACTGAGTGTTCCTTTGCCYAGACGCGGGTCACCGGAGCCCCAATCTGGAGACAGGCCTAGAGGTGGGGCATGATGCAGAGCGCCTGGTGGCCAGGCTTTCACCCATAGAGCCTGGCTGGCCACAGCCCAAAGAGGAGACATGGGTCCCCCTTTCCAAGGGATCACCACCTGTGGAAGGGGCCGAAGGGGTCAAGTGCAGTGTGTGATGGGCTGTAGTCGTGAGAACCCTGGCGGTCTGATCCTCAGCTACAGAAGCTGGCTCTAGGGACGTGGAATGTCACCTCTCTGGTGTGGAAGGAGCCTTAGCTGGTGTGTGAGGCTGAGAGATTCCGATGARATATATTTGAACTCACCTYGATGCACTGCTCTGGCTCTGGAACTAGTCTCCTTGAGAGGGGTTGGACACTTTCACTCTAGAGTTGCCCCTGCTGAGAGGCACAGTGAAGGAGTGGGCATACTCATTTCCCCCCATCTTTTTGCCTGTACGTTGGGGTTCAGCCCGGTGAACAAGAGGGTAGCCTCCCTCTGTCTACATGTGTGGGACGGGTCCTAACTGTTGTTTGTGCCTAGCGCCTAACAATAGTTCAGATTACCCACCCTTTTTGGAGTCCTTGAAGTGGGTGCTGGAGAGCGCTCTTGATGGGGACTCCCTTGTTCTGCTGGGGAACTTCAACACTCACACGGGCAATGACGGTGAGACCTGGAGGGGTGTGGTTGGGTGGGATGCCCCCCCCCCCCCCCCCCCATGAACAAGAGCAGCATTTTTTATTGGATTTTTGTGTTCATCATGGATTGACCATAACAAACATCCTGTTTGAACCTAGCATAATGGTGTCCATATGTGCTCTTGGCACCAGGACAATCTAGGCCGCAGTTCATTGATCAAATTTGTTGTTGTTTCATCTGATCTGTAGCTACATGTCTCGGACACTTGGGTGAAGAGAGGGGCAGAGCTGTCAACTGACCACTACCTGGTGGTGAGTTGGCTCTGATTGTGGGGTAGAATGTCGGTAACACCTGACAGTCCCGATCGTATAGTAAGGGTCTGCTGGGAACGTCTGRCAAAGTCTCCCGTCAGACTGAGCTTCAACTCACACCTCCGGTAGAACTTTGAACATGTTCCGGGGAAGGTGGCGGACATTGAGTCAGAGCGGGCCATGTTCCGTGCCTCTACTGTCAATTTGGCAAACCGGTGACTGTCGTGGCAGAAACCCTTGAACCAGCTGGTGGACACCGGTGGTGAGGGATGCTGTCAGGTTGAAGAAGGACGCCTATCCGGTATTTTTGGCCTGTGACTCTGGAAGCAGCTGATGGGTACCAGCAGTCCAAGCAGATTGTGGCTCAGGTGGTCACAGAAGCAAAAACTTGGGCATGGGAGGAGTTCAGAGAGGCCATGGAAAAAGATTTCCATACGGCTTCGAAGCGATTCTGTTCCACCATCCGATGTCTCGGGGTGGGGGAGTTGTTTACCCCTAACACTGTTTATGGTGGGGATTGTGCGCTGCTGACCTCAGCTCAGGACATTGTGGGTCGGTGGGCAGAATAGTTCAAAAACCTCCTCAATACCATTATCACGTCTTCCAATGTGGAAGCAGAGCCTGAGGACCCTGGGCAGACTCTCCAAACTCTGGTGCTGAGGTCACCGAGGTGGTTAAAAAGCTCCTCGGTGGCAAAGCGCCTCGGGTGGATGAGATTTGCCCAGAGTTCCTTAAGGCTCTGGATGTTGTCAGGTTGCGTTGGTTGACACAACTCTATAACATAGCAAGGACATTGAGGGCAGTTCCCCTGGATTGGCAGATCAAGGTGGTGGTCGCCCTATTTAAAATGGAGGACCGCAGAGTATGTTCCAACTATAGGGGGATCACAGCCTCATTGTTAAGGTCTATTCAGGGGTCCTGGAGAGGAAGGGTCCATCGGATAGTTGACACTCAGATTCAGGAAGAGCAGTGTGGTTTTCATATTGGTCGTGGAACACTGTGCCAGTTTTACACCCTCAGCAGAGTCCTGCAGGATGCATGGGACTTCGCTCAACCAGTCTACGTGTTTTATGGACTTGGAGAAAGCAGTCGACCGTGTCCCTCGGGGAGTCCTGTGGGGGTTACTCCGGGAGCATGGGGTACCAAGCCCTTTGATATGGGCTGTTAGGTCCCTGTATGAATGGTGTCAGAGCTTGGTCTGCATTGCCGGTAATGTCAGGCTCATTTCCAGTGAGAGCTGGACTCTGCCAAGATTGCCCTTCATCACTGATTCTGGCCATAACTTTCATGGACAGAATTTCTAGGTGCAGTCAAGGTGTTTGAGGGGATCCGTTTGGTGACTTTATGATCACATTTCCGCTTTTTTCAGATGATGTGGTCCTACTGGCTTCATCAGATTGTGATCTCCAGTGCTCCCTGGAGCGGTTTGCAGCTGAGTGTGAAGCGGCCGGAATGAAGATGGTGCCTCCAAATGTGAGACTATAGTCTTGAGCTGGAAAAGGGTAGAGTGCCTCCTCAGGGTTGGGGAAGAGGTCCTACCCCAAGTGGAGGATTTTAAGTATCTTGGGATATTGTTCACAAATGAGAGAATAATGGAGCGGAAAATCAATAGGCAGATTGGTGCTGCATTTGAAGTGATGCAGGAGCTGTACCAATATGTCATGGTTGAAGCAAAAGCTGAGCCAAAAGGCGAAGCTCTTGATTTACCAGTCGGTCTTTGCTCCTACCCTCATCTATGGTCACAAGCTTTGGGTAGTGGCCGGAAGAACAAGATCCCAGATACAAGTGGTCAAAAATTCTACCATTTGTCTGACTTGCAACTTGAGTACTGTTAAGTAGGGTTTGGCATCATTCCCAGATTTGAGTTTTGACTTTAGAAGTAAATGGAACACAACAATAGTCTAAACTGGTTCTTCAAATTTTGGTTAGTTGTCATTGGCAACATTATTCCCATTTATTGATGTGGCAAAAGTATCCAAGTTGTTTGTTAAGAATTTCTGATACTGGTCTATACAAAGAGCAAATGTATCAGTTTAAACAAAGTTTGAACAAATTTCATTTCATTCCTTACCCCAACAATATAACCCTAACCTTAGAATTTGCATGTTTCTGCTAATAGCCGAGCCGTTTCAATTATTTTTGTGAAGTGGCTGAAAGGGCGAGTTGGTCCTATCAAATAAACTTTTACAGGGTGTATTTTAAACTACAGCTAGTTTGAGCAATGTTATTCCGGAAATATTACCTTTGATATCTGTCTCTATTTTCTCTTCACTTAAAAAATGTCACTGATGATGAAGAAATAAATTAAAAAAACTAATATTTAGTTTTGTTTTCTACTGAAGTGACCAAAAAAAATGATATCAACACCAACTTGACCAA